TAGGAGTAATGGATGCTTATACAGAGCAACAGAATTGGAGATATAAGTCTACACAAATATAATTTTAAAGGTAAGTTTTAACAGTATTTTATAATAGCTAAAGTCGCTAAAGTAGATGTTTTCATTATGCCGGGTCCAGACCAAGCAAACAAAACGAAAACACAATTCTGAAACAAAAACACGATAAACCGGCGACAAAATTTGTCGTCAAAAGACAAAACAAAATTGAGACAAACTGTCCACACCAGAACAACAAAATATAAAAACAAATTCAGTTGGTGACGTTGTTGTTGTCATTAGTGTTGGTTAACCATGCGGAGTTTTAATCAAGAAAAAAATTAAACTGAAGATTTATTGCTAGCCGCAAGTTTTTTTTGCTCTCATCATCATCCCAGGTTGCTAAAAGAAAACCCAAACGTTTTTCGATTAGACCAAGCCTAAAAATGCGAGAAAGTTGTTCGATAGACAAATTGTTAGTTCAGCTGCGAGCAGATGATATTGGACTAAGTGGTGAAATTCGATCAAGCTTCAAAAATTTTTAAGAATGTTCACCGAAGATTTTGAGAATCTAATATGCCTTGTTGGTCCTGCAGTTACAAAAAGACATACTAACTTTAGAAATGCTATGAATGTAACAGAAAGGTTAGCAATCACTTTAAGATTTTTAGCAACAGGTGATTTCTACCACAGCCTAATGTATCTTTCAAAAGTATCAAAGCAATAAATATCTGTAATAATACCTGAAGTATGTAAAGCTTTAATTAACAGTCTTAGTGGTTATGTACAGGTATGTTAAACTTTTTTCATTACTATTTTTCTGTTAATATCCCTTAAAGTAAACTCCATATTTATTGGTTAAATGTTTAATACAAAAGAAGTTGACGATAGGTACATACTACATGCAAAATAATGACGAGTCTACTTGTTTTTACATTCAAAAAGTTCATCATCAATTTCGTTCGTTTTCTTGATTTGAATACTGAGAAAGCTCTGTGTCACTACTAGGTGGATGTGAAAATAAAGGTTGTGTGTTGGTGTTTGGTGGATTTAAGTAATAATTTTGTGGGTCAGCACTGGATGGATTTGAGTATGAATGTTGCGTGTTGGGTGGATTTGAGTATAAATGTTCAATGCTGGGTGGATTTGAGTATAAATGTGTGTCAATGATGGGAGGAGTTGAGTATGAACGTGTGTCAATGCTGGGAGGATTTGAGTATGAATGTTGTGTGTCAGTGCTGGGTGGATTTGAGTACAAATGTTGTGGGTTGGAGTTGGATGGAGTTGAGTGAACATTTGTGTTGAGACTAAGTATCATGCCGGGTCCAGACCAAGCAGACAAAACAAAAACATTCATGTTTCGCGACAAAGTGGCGACAAATCGAAAACATTTGATGAGACATTTCTGAAACAATTTTGTTTTGTTTGCAGATTTGAAAACTTTTTCAGGTCCCGTCTCGGGTCGGTAAAGATCAAAAGGTCTGTGTTTTGTCTGTGTTTTTGAAGACAAGTTGTCGACGCAGTGTGGACGCGTGTGCGTGCCAAAACAAGTTAAACAGTAGGAGAAATAGAATGTACAATTTTTATCAAAATCAAGTGTATTTTTCTGTTCTGTAGTGAATAAATAAATACTAGTGTATTTTTCTAAACATGTCGGGGGACAAAAAGTGGAATACACAAAATACATGCAAGTTAATAGAAATTTACAGGGAGCATCCGATATTATGGGACCCTAAAAATAAAGATTATAAAAATCGCTACAAGAAATCCGATGCATTAAAGGAAATTTCTTTATCGCTAAATGTGCCACTAAATGATGTTGAAAAAAAAAATAAAGAATGTTAACAACCAGTATGCTAGAGAAAGACGAAACTACAAGAAACTTAAAAAATCTGGGGCTGGGAAACTTTTCAGTTCAAAATGGTTTGGTTATGGTAGGAATCACCTGTTGCTAAAAATCTTAAAGTGATTGCTAAACGTTCTGTTGCACTTATAGCATTTCTAAAGTTAGTATGTCTTTTTGCAACTGCAGGAATAACAAGGCATATTAGATTCTCAAAATCTTCGGTGGACATTCTTAAAAAATTTTTGAAGCTTGATCGAATTTCACCACTTAGTCCAATATCATCTGCGCGCAGCTGAACTAACAATTTGTCTATCGAACAACTTTCTCGCATTTTTAGGCTTGGTCTAATCCAAAAACGTTTCAGTTTTCGTTTAGCAACCTGGGATGATGATGAGAGCAAAAAAAAACAACTTGCGGCTAGCAATAAATCTTCAGTTTCATTTTTTTCTTTATTAAAACGCCGCATGGTTAACCAACACTAATCACAACAGCAACGCCACCAACTGAATTTTGTTTTTATATTTTGTTGTTCTGGTGTGGACAGTTTGTCTCAATTTTGTTTTGTCTTTTGACGACAAATTTTGTCGCCGATTTATCGTGTTTTTGTTTCAGAATTGTGTTTTCGTTTTGTCTGCTTGGTCTGGACCCGGCATCAGAAAAATACACTTAATTTTGATAAAAATTATACATTCTATTTCTCCTACTGCTTAACTCGTTTTGGCACGCACACGCGTCCACACTGCGCCGACAACTTGTCGTCAAATACACAGACAAAACACAGACAAAACACAGACTTTTTGATCTTTACCGATCTGAGACGGGACCTGAAAAAGTTTTCAAATTTGCAAACAAAACAAAATTGTTCAGAAATGTCTCAACAAATGTTTTCGATTTGTAGCCACTTTGTCGCGAAACATGAATGTTTTTGTTTTGTCTGTTTGGTCTGGACCCGGCATTATATTATCTCATATAAAAATATTTACATGTAGTTTCTATGTTCAATTTAATTTGTTTAATGTTTATATATATAAGATTTCCGCGGTTAGTACAATAAAACCTAGAGCAAAGATTAATATTATTACTAAAATTAATATCAAACTCACCAGTCTTCCGGGTTGAACCGCGTCGTAATCCATTTTGCCGAGCTTTCGGCATCCTCTCTGATGCCTTCCTCAGGGCTTCCGAGGTCTCAGTCTCCCGAGCCCCCAGACACTACTACACTGTTCACTGTTCACTACGCTATCACTACTGCGTTCACTACACTATCACTACTCAGTAGTGATACTGTAGTGAACAGTGAACAGTGTAGTAGTGTCTGGGGGCTCGGGAGACTGAGACCTCGGAAGCCCTGAGGAAGGCATCAGAGAGGATGCCAAAAGCTCGGCAAAATGGATTACGACGCGGTTCAACCCGGAAGATTGGTGAGTTTGATATTAATTTTAGTAATAATATTAATCTTTGCTCTAGGTTATATATATATATATATATATATATATATATATATATATATATATATATTGAACTGTTCCCTATTCAAACGACCATAATTTTTTTGTGTGAAATTATTTTTTATTGATTCAAATGACAAAATGTGGGAAAATTTCAGAATTCACTCAATTTAGCCCGATGTGGCCACCTTTTGTCTTGGTCTACAACCGAAATGTTTACGTGCCTACGACTCTACAGCAGCTTCTACAGTTTTCCGATAATAAGCATTAAATAAGAGAACTGATATCAGCCAAATTTACCATAGGTTAGGTTGTTTCAAAATATGACACATCTCCATAAACTGTCTCTTAATAAGGTTACGTTCTCTACAGAGAATTCTAACGTCAACAAAATTCACAGCATGTTTGGTGTTGATTGCATGTTGTGCAAGAGCACAGTAATGTTTAGACAGTTTAATGTCACTACGATGTGAAGTAAGGCGTCCTTTAAGGGAACGGCCCGTCTGACCAATATAACATGCATATATTTTGTGATGTGTCATATTTTGAAACAACCTAATGCATTAAATAAGAGAACTGATATCAGCAACTTAAGCCAAATTTACCATGCACTAATAGGTACTACAAAATTGATTTTTCCGTATTCTACTTTTAATTATTGGTTTTTTCTTCAGTTTCTTTTATTATATCATAATTTTAGCATTATTTCGTAAATTTTACGAGTGTCTCAGTTTATACTAAGCCAGATAGTTATTATATATATTTTTTCTGACGTTTTTATATTTCATTTCGCATGTTATGGTTATAACACTCTAGAACCCTTAGCCGTGCCGTTGTTAATATATTATTTCAAAATTGACAATTACATTTTTTGATAGATTTTATAATCAATCAACGTTATCAAAAGTTAAATTAAAAAAATTAATATAAAATTACATAAATTGGGAATCTTCCGGCGTTCTGTGATTCTGTTTCGTTGCTGATGTATATTATTAGATTACTGTTTGCCTTATTTTGATGTTTCTTCAATTTAATGACATTTTAATGCTACAGATCTTTTAAAGGTAAGATTATTTACTTAATTGTTTCTCATATTAGATGTATCGCTAATAACACTCTTTTAGATGAACTGATAATGCTCCTTAAACAGTGAGCGAAACGTTTTCATTAAATAGATAAAGTAGCACAACTCTTGTCTTTTTTATCTCAAATTTGACCGAAAACATCCCATTCACTTACGAGTGCACTTTATATATATATATATATATATATATATATATATATATATATATATATTTATATATACCTATATATATATTATATATATATATATATATATATATATATATATATATATATATATAATATATATATAGTATATATTGCAGATCTATGAAAATAACTTAGGAAAATCTCAAGGAAAATATAATATCTCAAATAATATATTATGCATAGAGATGGTTTTTTACCCTCAATATCTGTTTGTGCTTCTGGATTTTTCGTTAATATTGACTTTATTTCGTTTATTTTATTTCGATTTACTTAATATAACCATCTTCATTTTTTATCACAACCCCAATGAATGTAGTTATATACGTATCTAAATTTTGAGCAGAATTCATAAAAAAATTATGAAGATCAGATATTACGAACCATTGAATCAAAATGAAAACATAATTTTATTATATCGTCTATCGTCTAACTCTTACCATTTGAGAAGTACTGACGTGCGTGTGTACCATTTTCAGTGATATATTGCGGTATACTTCCTAACGTCTCCCAAATTAGACACAAATGATCCAGATTTGCAGAAGGTTCTCGGTCGCCTTTCGGACTAAATAACATTTCTCCTGTAGCCATCTCAAATCCCATACAACCTACCGACCAAATGTCAGCCGGAAAACTGTAACCAGCTCCTAATATCACTTCTAAGGCTCTATACTGTCGAGTTTGTATCTCAGATGAAAAATGATGCTCCTAAAATGACAACTACATTATTATATGGAAAAACCTTATATTTAAATATGGAATAAACATTTTGTATTTTTTCACATATAACAATTGAATATTTAAAATCTACTCCTATATAGAAGTATTTTTATTATTTTATTGTTACAGAATTATAGATATTATTTTTGTTATACTATTATTTTTGAATTGATTCCTCCTAACCACATATACTCCGTTTTGGACCTGCTGCTGATATATAGCCCTTCTTCTACCCTTTGAAGAACTTTATTTTTATGACAATAGATCTTATTCTTCTCATATTATTATGCCTTTCCTTTTTCTTGACGAAAAATTTCGTACATAAATTCTTCTGGTTGTAAGTAAGAACACTATTGAATTTGATGTAAAAGGTAATTTTCTTCTTTTAATACGTCAATTTTTAATAGGTCTGGCCAAAATCAACTCAATAACATTATTAAAAACCCGGTTTTATCGGCTAAAAATATAGTAAACCTCGTCTATGGCGTCATAAAATTTTACAGTAGGTTGTAGTTTTTTGTTTTATGAAAAATAAAGTGCAATGTGTTTACGGCATTGTTCCTTCCAAGAATGTGAGAAAGCCCAATTATCTCTTCCGTATACAGTTATGACATAAGGCTTTGCCTATTAAAAATAAAATGCTTGTTATAAGAACATTTAAAAGTGGTCGAAAAATTGCTGATGTATGTCGGCCATTTGGACTTGTTAATTGGACTGTCGGCATAATCCTACAAAAACAAGGACAACATTTTAAAAGCCATTAATGAGGAGGAAGAAAATGTTAAAAAGATTAGGAAGTGTATTTGTGCTGATGTAGATTCAGCTCTACTCAAATGGTTCAAGAGTGTCGCAGTTCTGATATTCCTGTGTCCGGGTCACTTTTAAGTAAGGTAGCTACAGAGTTCGGAAAAATGTTTGGTGTAGATTTCACATACTCTAACGGCTTGCTAGATCGGTTTAAATCCCAGCACTCAATTTGCTTCGCGAAAATTTTTGGAGAGGCAAAATGTGTGAACCAGAACATGACAGGTGATTGGTTACAACACAAATGGCCACAACTAAGGCAACCATACAAGGATAAAGATATCTTCAATGGCGATAAAACTGGTGTCTTTTACAAATTAATGCCAGACAAAACTTTAAATTTCAAAAATCAAAAATGTGTCGTAGAAAGCTTTCAAAACAAAGAGTCAAGGGTTTTTTTTGTACAAACATGACAGGTACAGAGAAAAGCAAGCTTTTGGTTATTGGGAAAAGTTTACATCCTAGATATTTTAAAAACATGAAAACACTCCCTGTAAACTACACAGCCAACAAAAAAGCGTGGATGACTTCTGCTATTTTTGAAGAAGAATTGAGAAGTGAGACAAGGAACTCTCTTCAAGAAAAAAAGAAAAATTCTTCCCTTAGTTGACAACTGTGCAGATCATTCCAAGCTTAGTTTGACCAATATCAACCTAGTTTTCTTATCAAACAACAGCACGAGTGTCTTGCAGCCTATGGGTCAAGGAGTCATAAAAAGTATTAAGTGCCATTATCGGAAACAGCTTTTGAAAAGGATGATTTTTTGTATAGACAATGGGGAACCCATGAACATTACCATCTTTCATGCAGGTTAGGTTTTAGCCAATGCGAGAGTGCGGTTACGTCAATGACAATATGTAAGCGCTTTTGTCCCACTGTTTGTTTAGCCTAGTCTGGTTATCCAAAAATTATCGATTTCACGGCAAAATTTTTCTAAGATATCTGAAGCTTTTAAGACATAGGTGAGGGTTACTAGATGACGAATAGATGAAAAAGTACTCGTATTTTTATCTTGCGTTTTTGTTTAAACAATAATTTATGGTCACAATTTGATTTTTTGTCTATAAAAAAGTTGTGCATGGTCTAAAACCTGATTCCACCATCCAATATTAAATTTTCTGATAATAAAATATTTATAAATAAATAAAAGTAATACGGTGCTCTTAATACATATAGTCTATGCTGAAGAAGAGTGTTACAACTCAAAATTCTCTGTTTTCGACATTTATGCAGTAATCAACCGAAAAAATAGGAAATTGGAAAAAAAGAAAGAAAATACTCGAATTATGGCAAAGAATTAATCAAAAATTTTAAGAAACAAGAAAGAATCTTATATCTCGACTCAAGTGCAGAAAAAAGAAAATCGTACAATATCAAGAGTAAAAAAAGAAATACCACAAAGATTCATTTTACCACCATGTGGTTAAAAATGCAGACTTAAATGCTCTGACAAAATTTCTGCTGAACATCGTGAACACATTTTTTCAAATTTTTGTAGGTTTGGAGATCTTGGAAAGCAAAGAGAATAAATAGCATCAAATATGACACAAATCAATCCGAAATATAAATACAGTAATATTGCGAATGGGGACTCGGAGGTGGGGCAGATCATAACAGTACATAAAAAGGGAGACCAACAAATCTGTGAAAATTATAGAGGAATCACATTACTAAATACAACATATAAAATATTGACATCAATAATAAAAAAGAGGTTATCAAAGATCACAAAGAAGACAGTAGGACAGTACCAATGTGGATTCACAGAAGGAAGATCTACAATAGATGCAATACACACAATAAAACAAATAATGGAAAAAGCAAACGAGTATAAATTAGAATTGGAAATGTTATTCATAGACTTCAAACAGGCATTTGATTTAATTAAAAGGAACGTATTAAAATTAAAAATTCCACATGAACCTAGAAAATTAATAGAAATGACAATGAGAACTACAAAATTAAGCATAAAGACACAAAGAGGAGTGTCAGTATAAATAAAGGGATGAAACAAGGAGATGCCTTATCAACAACGCTATTTAATCTAGCATTAGAATATGTACTGCGAAATATAAATAAAAGAAATCTCAGAACAAGAGGTGGTCAAATAATTGCATATGCAGACGATATTGCTATTATTGCAAAGAACAGAAAAATAATGAAAGAAGAAATAAGAGAGAAAGGGGAGGTAGTGGGGCTAAGATTAAATCAAGAAAAGACAAAAATATTAAGATTAGTGAAAAAACCAATGAAAGAAAAAATCAAAATAGGAAGTTCTGAGTTTGAAGAAGTAGAATACTTCAAATACCTAGAAGTTACAATAAGTAAATCCGGAGAAAGGAAATTCGAAATAAAAGAAAAAATATTAGCAGCGAATAAAGCTTATTTTGCAAACAAAAGATAACTTAAAAGCAAAACACAGACTAAAAAAATTAAGATGAGCATTTATAACACCATAATTAGACCAATATTATTATATGCAGGAGATACAATGACGATGGTCAAACAAGATGAAGAAGACTTAAGAATGACAGAGAGAAAAATTATGAGAACCATACTAGGATAAGAACCAATCATAACAGAGCAAAATGAATATAGAAGCAGAACAAATGCAGAAATTGAGGAAGAACTTAAGGAAAACATCGTAACTAAAATAAAGCAATGCAGAGTTAGATGGTTAGGTCACATTTGGCGAGCAGGCGATGAGGCAGTGAAGAAGAGAAGGGGAAGACCGAGATTAAAGTGGCTACAAGAAGTTAAGGAAGACCTCCAAAGGGCAGGAGTCAGAGAATGGAGAGGAAGAACTAGAGATAGGAAAATGAAGAGATATTGTCAAGAAGATAAGATAAACAAAAAATATTGATCCACTTAAGAAATAGGATCTAGAAAGCATTTGCAGTTTAAGTGGGGTGTATAGCCATTATATATAATATTGCGAATCCAAGAAAACCGAATAATGCATTTACCTTTATAATTTCTAAGCAAACATAAGGGTTAGCAAAACATATTTTATGGCAACTTTAGCAATTAACAATAGAACTATCCAGACTGTACTCAAAAAACAAAGTGTCTGTCAATATGGTAAGATTATTGATGTAGATAGAAGAGAGAAAACACGAAATCATTAAAAGATAGGTACCGAAATACAAGAGAGAATAAGGTTACACATAGATTCAATTCCGAGAGTCGAGGCTCTTTATTGTAGAGCTAATACTTCACGCGAATTTATAGAAGGTGGAAAAACTTGGGTTAGATTTACATAGAGATTATGTAAAATTATGTCAATAGGAGTAATTGTAATACGGAAATTATCAATTTTACAGCAGAATATTTAAGGAGGAGTATAACCTATCTTTTAATGTACCAAAAAAGGATCAGTGCGAGTTGTATTTGAAGTATCGTAATTGTTCGAAAGCGGAAAAAGGTAATTTGGTAGACCCATACATTTAAAGGAAAAGGTAATCAGCCGAGAAGAAAAACAAAACGACAAACAGAAGACTGCCGATGATGTGACAGTTTTAGTTTATGACCTTCAAAAAGTTTTGCCGTGTCCTATTGGACATGCAATTTCATTTTATTATGTCTCAAAGTTGAATGTTTTTAGTATATGTAACATCAAAATCACAGAAGGTGTCTTCTATTTGTGGCACGAGGGAGAAGGTTTGGGAGATGCGAACGAAATAGGAACATGCCTATTTAAATATCTTGAAGATCTTTCTAATAAAAGTAATGGAGCAGATTTAAACATAATTTTTTACTCTGACAACTGTTGTCGGCAAAACAAAAACAAGTATTAGTCCAGGCTGTGAGGCCGCTCCCGTTGGGAAAATGTTTCTGATTCGGTTTCTTCGCAGATTCCGGTTCAAAAATGTCCACTTTAAACAAATCAAAAGGGTGCCGGGCAAAACTTTTGGGCAGAAATTGTTTAAACAATATTTTTATACAAATTCCAAAAATAAATTTGGGTTTTTTGGGTCGTTTTAAACAAAAAAGATCTCTTGTCATTTTTCTCTAAAGTTGACAGTTTTCGAGTTATAAGCGATTTAAAGTCTGAAAAACGCGAAAATACACATTTTTGAGGCTTAAAAACACATATGTAAATTATTATCTTTGAGGTTACCAAGTGTCCAAATTAAAGTTTAAACATTCAACTTCAAGATTGTGAAGAGTAATCAGGGCTTATTTTAATTTAGACCGTTGTTCTTTAATTGTTAAGTATGCGCGTACACTCGATTGTTCAGCCGCCGCGCGCCGCGGCGCGTCGCGCTATCGTGCGCATCTATCGTACTTATGCATAGTTTACATATACTTACGCAAAAAAATCCGAACAAATACTTGAAGTTTATTAACATAGTTTTTTCCATAATTTATTTATGTAGGTATTAATTATTGTCATTAGGCTAATTAAATAAATCAATCATCGCAATGTAATAACCGTATATAGCTTTTTTTTCTTCCAAATTTGAACAATATAATTATTATTTATTGAGTATATATTTATTTATATCAATTGTAAATATTATTTTTAAATTATTATTTAAATAATACAATGCAGTAAATATTAATATTAATAGGCAATTAATAGGCAAAATGGAAGAATCCTTAAATGATGCAAGAAAAACAATTTTTAACAGATCATGTGGCTTAGGAATTAATCTAGCCAATATACCTTGTACCTCTGACGCACTTTACCAACACTTGTTAAGAGAGCTTTCGCTCAAACATAAATTTGGCGAAATGCCATAAAATCTCGCTATAAAACTCTCGATTTTACACAATATGGATATTATGTCTGATAGTGGTGGGTTATTACCAAGATTCATAACTCAAAACCCATTACCAGAAACACTGGTGAAACCGTGCAAATGCAAAAAGATTTGCAAAACTAATGCTTGCAACTGCAAGAAAAATCATGTCAACTGTGTACCATTATGTGTATGTGATTTAGATTTTTGTGAAAACAAAGATACTTTTACTGAGTGATATTTGTGTGTTATTTAACAATCTTGTGTACAATTATTTTATGTAACTATTATTAGACTTTAAATAAAATGTAGTTTATATTTTACGAAATTTATATTATAACTCAATTGATATAAATAAATATATTTTATACTCGATAAATAATAATTATTTGTAAGTATGTGTAAGTATATGTAAACTATGCATAAGTACGATAGAGGCGCACGATAGCGCGCCGCGCCGCGGCGGCTAAAACATCGAGTGTACGCGCATACTTAACAATTAAAAAACAACGGTCTAAATTAAAACGAGCCCCAATTACTCTATACAATCTTGAAGTTGAATGTTTAAACTCCAATTTAGACACTTGGTAACCTCAAAAATAATAATTTACATATGTGTTTTCAAGCCTCAAAAATGCGTATTTTCGCGTTTTTCAGACTTTAAATCGCTTATAACTGGAAAACTATCAACTTCAGAGAAAAATGACAAGAAACCTTTTTTGTTTAAAATGATTCGAAAAAGCTAAAAAAATATTTTCGAGAATAAAAAAAAATATTTTTGGAATTTGTTTAAAAAAAATTGTTTAAACAATTTCTGCCCAAATATTTCGCCCGGCATCCTTCAGATTTGTTTAAAGGGGACATTTTTGAACTGGAATCCGCGAATAGATCGAATCAGAAACATTTTCCCAACGGGAGCGGCCTCACAGCCTGGACTATATATACTTGCCCTTTATGTATTAAATATATGATCAACAAACTAAAAATCGAGTCTATCACGTACAAATTTTTTCTTAAGGGACATAGCCAAAACGAAGGAGACAGCGTACATGCCAAAATCGAGAATGAGATAACAAAATATAAAAATCTTTGTTCCTGATCAATATGCTGTGACAATTAGACAGGATAAAAACCGGGCAAAAAATATCACCTGAACGAACTGTGTTTCACAGACATACTTGATTTAAAAAAATTGTCTCCAAATATATATATTAATATTCCAAAGAACGTAAAATTTGGCACTCTCGGAGTTATTAAAATTGCAAAAATCTGATTCCACTACCTTTTATACGAGTACTTACTCGTATGGCGAAGAAAGTTTTATGGAAACCGAAATTATTAATCACAGAAAAAATATTAAATTTGATAATTTACTGGTTACTAAAAAATTTAATTTAAAAAAATGTGTTCGGCATTATTACTTAGATTTCTTTAAATACCTTTGATTTATTTTGGTATTCCCTTTATGTTCAGCTATTGCATTAAACTTGAATTTTAATCATAGTGTTTAAAATGCCAAAAATGATTATTTAAACAAGCATTTATTACTTTTGTTATTTTTTAATAGAAATAAAATTGTTGTAAGTTGGAATATGTTTATGATTTTTTACAGAAAAAAGGTAAAAGTTCTATAACTTTCTACAATAAGAAATGATTGCTCATAAAAGCGCTTGTTAAACAACTGATTTATATTAATAAAGGAAATATATAAAACCATTAAGATAAAGATAATATTACTACATTTATAAGCCCTAAAGTCATTTTGTTACAAGATCTTATATCATATAATTTTTATATTCAAAATAATTACAACTATTATTTTTTCTAAAACTACTATTTTGTGGAATATTGTACAGTCCAAGGTTTGAAATGAAATATAAAAGCCATATATATATGCAATAAAACCAATTTTAGATTTTAAAGGACAACAGTATCAAACATTTTTTTGAGTTGTAACCCTCTTCTTCCGCATGGTCGATATGTTGTTCACACCCACAAGAATTTCCAGTACCTACAACCTTAATCGTTGATTTTTGTGATTTCTCTTTTTATGTTTGTACCAAAACAAGTTGAGGTACTTTAATTTAAATAAATGAATAAATAGCTTTTTTGATTTTTTGTTGGTTATGTAAAAGTTCAAAGTTATAGTTAAATTTATGATTTTCTGCAATTAGATGGTTGACATTACCTCCCAACAAGCATTTCCTAAATCAGCAATTTTAATTTCGATGTTGGGACTAACCCACATCGGTGCATTTAAGCGTGGTTCTCCATGCCGTCTTCTAAAATCAGGTAATTCTCCTAAAAATTTATCATAAGGGTACGATTGTCCTCTCTGTTCCTCAAATTTAGACAGGATATTTTCATCGGAGTCCCGTAAACTTCTTTCCCTATCTATCCAGCAATCTGCTGCAACTAAAAAACTTCGAATTAATCAAACATTTTAAATCATTGAAATTAATTAAAAGAAAATATTTTAGGTATATTAATCGGGAAACTTGGAATATAAAAGTGGGAGAAAACTTATAATGTGATTAAGATTTCAAAGGGGTTATCTGGTTTTTTTTTTGTGTATATCAGACATCTACTTTCAGTCCATAATTCTAGGTTTCTAAGAAAGCCTATTATCCTTTTCGGAGATTGTTACTTTGTCAAATTCTAAAAATACTTCAGTCGTCAGGGACGAAAATGTCACTGAACCTCTAAAAATAATTCGGCAAAATAACAAGCTAAATTTTGCCGAAAATACTAATTTTGAGACCTAAAAATGATGCAAAATAGTTTACCACTTTCACCCTTGGGCTTCCCACTAAAATCTCCCTCGTAGAGGAGTAAAAAGACAAAAAATCGATTTACCAAGAGTCTGTACGTAGAAAAAATTGTTTTGAATAAAGAATGTAGCTAAGATAATTTTATATTGTCGATTGTCGATTTTGACTGTTAGTGGAGTTCCTGGAGCATTCAAAACCGTAAAACCTCGGATTAGAGTTACAGTGAATGAATTAATATAATAGATGTGGGATATTGTTTTTAAAGCTATAAATTGCAATGTTTACCCAAAATTTTTGTGTGCATTTAATTTTTTTATTGTTTAAATAAATTATTATAAAAAATTAATGTTTGACATTATATTTTCACTATAAACAGTATTTTTTTATTTATATGTTAAATCTTACCTGAGTAGAGATTTAGGAATATTTTTCAAAGATATCTGTGTATAATAATATCAGTAGGGGGCTCGAACAGGTTGGAAAACGTAAAGGGGGGAGCGAAGCGACAGCTACTATGTACAATGGAATTTTTCAGCTAGTTTAGTTGAAAGTAACACGTGTTCTGTGAATATTGTGCTTTTGTAACAGTGAAAATTTGATTCTTTAGTGAAAAATTTGTATACTTTTGTACTGGAAGGCGTATTGAAGATGACGTTTTTATATTGAACTATTACACAAATTATTTCGTATTGCTTAATTTGGTAAGTGATTAGATTGATAACTACAGTTCATTGTTAAATTAATTAAATAATAAGTGCAATTAATTAGATATTATTTTTTTTTTAGATTTCGAACACTGGATAAACCAACGGCTAGCAGCATGGCTGATGAAAATAGCTGCATATATGTATACACCTGGGTTCATCTTCCAAAACATATTCAAATCTAGGTGAAATTATAAAAATTAGTAGAGGAATAACCTCTTTAAAAGCTGCTTCAACCAAACGACAAGATGGATTATTACCTCACCTACAAACTGAATTTGTTTACGCTCATTCAAGTTGTCGACAAAAATATATTAATAAAAAGTATATTGGAGTGTGTAAAAATAAAGTCCGTAAAAATCTCTCACTAACGCCTCCGAAAAAAAAACTTCGAAGTAGCATGAATTTCATTAACTTCAATTGGGAAAAAAACTGTTTTATTTGCGGACAAGAAGCTGATAAATCAAAAGAAGCAAAATTAAATAAAGCTCGGCGTAGGCAGATTTCATACATCAACACTCCAACTTTAAATGAATCCTTCACGAAATTTATAGCCGTCCAGAAAACTGATTATTATCGAGATATCCATAAAAGACTTAGGACTTTTTCTGGTATAACCGACTTACAGACACTTGCAGCAAAATATCATTCGGATTGTTATAATTTGCTGAAAAATTCAATTCAACTCAGTAGTGTTGAAAAGAAAATTAATCCAAAAATTTCGATGGTAGATGCAGCAATGGAGCAAATATACAAGTACATAGAAGAGAATGATGATTGCCAATTTACCATGCAAGAGTTGAAAAACGTCGTCACTACAGAGCATATCCCGGATGAAAAAACTATTAAAAAACGACTAATAGATCGATTTAACGATGATATTATCATTTCAACTAAATTTGGGTCCAACGCCATTATATGTTTTAAAAAAATTAACCATGATGTAATAACAGAAAATTGGTACAATCAAAAATATAATAGTAAAGAAGAAGAAGAATTTCATATTCTAAAAGCGGCGAGCGAAATTATTCGGAGAGATATAAGAGCCCAAGTGTACGATAATGAAAATTATACGCCAAGTGACAAAATGCTTCAAGATGTTGATGAATCAATTCCAACATCTTTAAATTTATTACTATCTGAAATGATATTAAAAGATAAGAAAAATAATGCAGAAACAATTCCGAGATATGAGAAGAAATGTAAATCGATAGCGCATGCAATTATATCAGCTGTACGACCAAGATCTTTTTTATCTCCACTTCATATTACTTTGGCTGTGATGTTTCATAGGAAATTTGGCTCTAAAAAAGTAATAAATATATGTCATTCTTTAGGCTTCTGTGCTTCGTACAAAGAGGCTACATTATACGAAGCTTCAGCAACTTTTACAGCTCCACCAGAAATAAAACCTGGCACTTTCGTTCAATTTGTGCATGATAATGCTGATTTCAATATCAACACTATTGATGGTAAGGGAACGTTCCATTATATGGGAAGCATTGAAATAGTTACTCCAAGAGATGGTATACAACCTCGATGGCCTATCAAGCGTCTGAAGACACTACCACCAGAATCTGAATTTATCAAACACGGAAATATCCCTCTGCAAATATATCCAGCTTCTACAGGTTTAGGATTTTCAAAGATAGTAGTTAAGTTATCTGAAATTAAACCCGATATCAAAAAATTTACTACAAATGGGCAATTAAATATTTTGTGGACGTATTTAAAGTTCAAAAATAATAACAAATTTCTCGGATGGAACGGATTTATGAATTTATTAACTAATGCACGTGATTTTGATGTGTCATCGATAATTTTTATGCCTTTTATTAATGCAGCTCCAAGCGATTATAACACAATTTACACAACTATGAAAAGTTCCGTAGAAAATGCTAAAAAATTGAATATGAGAACATGCATCTTAACATTCGATCAACCTCTATACATGAAAGCACGGGATATTGCTTCTGCTGTGCATTTATCTGATGAAGTATTAGTTGTTGTGAGGCTAGGCTCTTTTCATACTCTTATGTCTTACATGGGATCTATTGGTTATATTATGGCTGGAAGTGGAATAAAAGAAGCTCTTTCTACCATATATGCTGAACATACAATTGATCACATAGCATCTGGACATGCGTATGCTAGATAATAATATAGTTAATAAATAAACGTTTGTCATTTTTTATGATACACATGATATCAATACAATATATTCCTTTCATTGAATGGCCACTATGAAGTTTTGGTAACTATATAGAGCCTAACCTTTAAAACCGATGGCATGAAATTTTTAGTGAAAAGGTTTAGTGAAAGTTTTACGTCTTGGCAACTAATGTAAGGCATTTGAAATATGCTTAAAAAACGCTGGATTTAAACTTTTACATAACAAACAATCTAAAACGTCTAAACCTGTTTTTTCAAATGGATTAGTACGTTTTTCAAAAAAAAAAAACTTCTGCTATAAAGTATATACAAACCCGTGAATCTTGAAGGCATTTTCCGTGACGTACAATCATTTGTAATGTGAAACATTAAATTCTGCGTTTTTAAATTATATTTCAAATGCCTTATATTTGTTGCCACAATTCAAAATTGAAATTTCATGTCATAGGTTGATCTCTAAAAAGGGAAACATTACTACGACTAGTCCATGAAAGGGATCAATTTTATTGATCTTACAAGAATCGTAAAAAATGGAAAAAATCACGTCACATTTATTTATTTACCACCTTTATAAAAACTAAGTTTATTTGCCGCAAAATACATAAACCGCATACAAAACAAAATCTGTACTCTTTACCTTTAAAACGCATCTTGATTTTTGTCGATAGGACACAACTTTTATTGATACAACTTTTATTGAACATTGATTTCGCGCGCGTAACTGACATTCGAATAGACCGTCGCATCAAGCATTGTTTCTGAGAGAATGGTTCATTCTACAAAAAAAGTGCTAATAAACATTTTTGTTTAGAATTATCTCAGCTACATTTTTTATGTGAAACAATTTTTTCTACGTCGTACAGATTCTTCGTAAATGGAATTTTTGCGTTTTGACCTCCCTACGAGGGAGGTTTTAGGGGGAAGCCCGGGAAAATAAGTGGTAAACATTTTGCATCTTTTTTGGGGTCTTAAAATTAATATTCTTGGCAAAATTCATTGTTCGTATGGTTTTTGGCGGTCAACTCTCTGACGACTCGACTAAGACTTGTTCCAAATAAACAATTGTTGTAGAATTGGTTACAATTTGAACAAATAATAAAAGCTTTATAAATAATACAGACAAATTTGAGATAAAATATTAGTTTTCTTACCATAAGATCGTGGCATATCAATTCCTAGTTCAGTAAATTTTTCTGTTTTTCCTATTATGCTTTTTATGTAGTTTTCATCAACTTTTATCAATATATTTTCTGGTTTAATATCAGTATGAATTATGCGACATGCTTCATGGAGGTAAGTTAATCCTTTTAAAACCTGAAAAGTAAGTACTGCCATATCATTATGTTTTTCACCATCTTTTCAGTGAACCTACTTAAAGTGTATGACATAAAAAATATCAAAGTTATTATAAATGTTTATAAGCTACAAATTAAGTTTTTCAAATGTTTTTTTTTTACAATTTTGATAAAATGTGAATTTTTTTTAAATAATCTTAAAATTTAAGCCTCCAAGAATGAATTGCGATCTGCTAAATATCTCTAGAGTCACTTTTTGGCCAAGTACAATTCTTTAAATAATCGCTCTCCGGGATAAACAAATTGAATAACTTACAAACTATTTGGTCGATCTAGCTGAAATTTAGCACACTTCAATAACTCATTAATTGCCATAATTTTAAGTACTTCTATTACATGTCATTACGAAAGAAACAAATATATTAAAATTTATAAATTACTCTAAAAATAGGGTTTTTGCAAATATCTCAGTTAATTGTTTATGTATATAATTAAAGAACTATTCAAGATCTTCATATTTTATTTTAATCATTTTTCTTTAAAATGTATAAGAATCGTTTTATAGGCAAAAAATCATTTTTTACTTTTTATGATAGTTAAAAGAAAAACAAAGCAAAATCAGTCGTCTTCAAGGATTTGTCATCAGCTATCCCTCATATAGAACTTTTAAAACTTTTATAAGATACATAAAATCGATGATTTTTTCACAGATAGACTGGTAAACTAAAAGCCCATGGGATGGTTTTAATGGGTCGTTTGACCCAACATTAATCACACATAAATCAATTCTGCAATATGTAATAACAACTTTAAAAATGGTGCCGTCAATTCTTATCGGTACACAAAGTCTGGGAGTTCAAATTAAGGGTTGTACCTTAGATTTCTTACCCTTCTTCCAGCCAAAATATACGGCGATGTAAAAAATTAATGTATATACCGATTCGAAACTTTATAGATGAATGCCGTACTGTGTCAAATTACCGAAAATAAGGAAAAAAAATTTCGAACATAAAAAAATTTTCCTTCTCCTAGTACCAATATGGCCGTTACACGTACACCAAATGTCGACATTAATATTCGTATCTATAACAAACATATAGAACCAGTACAAAGAATCCAGTATCTTGGTTGCTGGATAACAAATGATCTTGACCACGAGGTCGAAATACGTGCTCGTGTAGAATATTCTAGGTCCGCATTTCAACGAATGAAAAAATTCCTAATAAACTCTACGTTATCGTTGGATATCCGATACCAGTTTGTAAAACGTTTATTTATTCCATATTGCTATACGGAGTGGAAACATGGACTCTCGGAATTACAAGTATGAGGCGTATAGAAGCCTTTGAGATGTGGGTTTTTTGAAGGATGCTGAAGATCTCTTGGACAGAGCACGTGACCAAAAACGAGGTGCTTAGAAGAATGGGTAGTGAAAGAGAACTCCTAAATATTGCAAAAAACAGAAAAATGAGTTATATAGGACATATTTACAGAGGAGAAAAATACAACTTCCTACGACTTATAATGGAAGGGAAAGTGGAAGGAAGAAGAGGTCCAGGAAGAAGAAAATGCTCCTGGTTGAAGAATGTAAGAGACTGGACAGGTATGGACACACATTCGATACTAAGAACAGCTCAAGATAGAGAGCAATTTGCTGTAGTTATAGCCAACCTTCAGTAATGAAGAAAACACCTTAAGAAGAAGTATCCATATTTTTGTACGGCATTAGACGCAAGTCATTATTTTTGTATTACCTATCTAAGTTATTAATGCCGCATTAAAATGTATGGCAAAAAAAACTTACTCCCTTGAGTGGTAAGTTTATCTTACCTGTAACTCACATGTATCAATAAGAATTGACGGCATAGTTTCTAAAGTTTTTATTACATATTGTAGTATAGTTTTACATGGGATTCACGCTGGGCCAAATGTTCCATTTAAAATCTCCCTTGGGCTTGTAGACTATACGGTATTCAAGACTTAAACATATCTCTCAAGTATCGTATAGATATCGATATAACATTTAAGCGTTTTGAGATATCAGTGCTTTTGTTCTGAGAGACTGGTGTTAGCTTTTGTGTTATTTATTTTTCATTTTTGTTTTACTTTCAATAAAAAAATCAATACCTGAGTAATAATTCGTTTGACTCCACATAAATGAATTCCTCTAAAGTCAGACTGTACAAGTAAGTGTAATAGTGAGGGCCCCATTATTTCCATGGAAATGGCAGTGTGTACTCCATTGATGCTCAATAACTTAAAAGTATCTACCATTTGAACAATATGCTTATAGCCAAGGTGACTGGGGTCTATCAGTTTCGTGTCTCTAAGTAACTTTATTTCATCTTGAGCCACTACGGTGAACATTTGCGCGCTCTTACAAATCTTCAGGGCGACATAAGTAGGCCCACTAAAATTTAAAAATATTGAAAATACAAATTTTTAACAAAACAATCTTAATAGAATATACATAAAAAGAGTTGAATGCGAAAAATACTATTTATATTAGACCCATAGACATATATACCCTAGACAGCGTGCTGCAATATAAATCTAGTGCGAAAGAGAGATACGAACAGTCTTTGCATCTTCTTCTAATTCCAGGGGTTTATCGACCACGTGACCTTACCATTAGCAAATAATCTCCAATGGGTAGGTCACGTTGTTGATAGACCCAGGCAATTAGAAAGAGGTACACTTTCCGTCATATAAAACTGGTACACTTTTTTTTCTCAATGTAAACCTGTGTTCAGAAATTAATTCGTTATTGCCAGTACAGATAACAGAATTGCACTAAATCTAAATAAAAAAATAACGTTCAAAAATGTATAAAATTTTTAGATAGTATTATTTTTATCATTACCAAAAAAACTGAATCTAAGAAATTAAATAAGCAGAGATAGGGTTGAGTTATTATCCAAAATGTTTGAAAGATCTTTAACCTAGGGTATTAGCACAGGGAACATTGGAATGGATCTACTATAATTTTATCTTCAATTACCTACCCAACTCGAACTGTATTCTGTGTCAATAAGTTTTGTAACAGGCAAACTACCAAGATTAATTTATTATTTATTAAAAGAACGATAAAAAATGTGAAAAACTAACATTATACTTTATCCTACGTATTATATACTAGAAAATATTCGGAGCGAAAAAACGCTTTTCAAAACGTAACAGTTACAATCTAATATCTCTCTGTAATGTTTTATTATAATAATTTGAAGTTTGTATATCTGTCATTCATTTCATAACACCAATCCCTAAAAAAGGCGACAAGACGAAATGCACTAACTACAGGGGAATCACGTTATTAAATACAATGTACAAAATATTAACTAATTTGATCAGACAAAGAATAGAAAAAGAAACTAGAACAAAAATAGGTGAATACCAACATGGATTCAGAGAAGGTAAGTCAACAATAGATGCAATACACATTGTAACGCAAATAGTCGAAAAAAGTTACGAGCACGGAATAGATCTACATATACTGTTTATTGACTACAAGCAAGCTTTTGACAGTGTAATAAGGGAGGAGCTAATTAAGGATATGAATCAATTAGGCATCCAAGAAAAATTAATAAGTCTCACGAAAATGACGATGAAGGAATCCAAGGCACGAATCTTAACAAAGGAAGGCCCGTCAGATGAAGTACAAATGGAGGTAGGTGTCAGACAGGGAGACTCCCTGTCAACAACATTATTTAACATTGCCATAGAGGGCGCAGTAAGAGCAGCCAAAATTATGGGAACGATTATCGAATCTTCAGCCCAACTGATTGCGTATGCAGACGATATTGCACTGATTACTAGAGATTTAAAAACCATGCAAAACATAATATTAATACTAGATAAAGAAGCAAAGAAGAGAGGGCTAGTAATAAAACAAAGCAAAACGAAATACCTCAAGTCTTCAAGAGAGAATACGAACATAGAGAAAGAAATTAAGCTTGGTGCATATACATTTGAAAGAGTACACCGTTTCAAATACCTGGGTGTGATGGTAAATGACAGAAATGATAGAACAGATGAAATAAATGAACGCATCCTACTGGGTAATAAAACCTACTGGAACTACCAAAAATTCCTGAAAGAAAAACACATTAGTAAGAAAACCAAATTAAAAATTTAAAAGACTGCGATCAGGCCAGTGATCACCTATGGTGCAGAGACGATGTGCCTAACACAAAAAGATGAAATGAGGTTAGAAATCTTAGAGAGAAAGATAATTCGACGAATAATGGGGCCAGTGAGGATAAGTGTAGGCGAATTTAGAAGATTAACCAATGAAGAAATTAAAGAAGTCATCGAGGGTGAAGACATAATCAAGTTCGTTAAGACGCAAAGGCTCAGGTGGCTGAGGCACACAGAAAGAGCTAACCCAGACTCTACACTAAAGCGAATAACTGGATGGAGACCAACAACAAAGAGGCCAAAGGGGAGACCCAAAACAAGATGGAGAGGTCAAGTCTTAGGAGACCTAAAGAAGCTGAGAATCTACAATTGGAAGGAGCGCTGTAAGGATCGGAAAGAATGGAGGAAAATTGTAGACAGGGCCAAGTCACACACGCTGCTGTAATAATAGAAAGAACAATAGCGGACTGATTCTCCGCAATAAATGAATCAGAGAGCCCAAAAGGGCGGCAAACACTCCGCCAGGAGTGAATAAGCCATGATGATGATATCTGTCATTAGTTTTGAATTGAAATATTTTCATAAATTATTATAAGACATAAATCAATGTATGGGTATTTAATTTAGAATGCATGTTTAAACAAATTTAATGTGACTGACTGATCGAGAATGCTCGATAATGTTTTAGTTTTTAGTATACTCAAAACTGCCTTGCTTTTATCTGGTTTGATATAATATTTTCGTTGAACTGGCAACGGTGACCTAGAAATCAGAATGACACATCTGACAAGATCAACGTACACATCTTAAAAAACACGATTTTTGATTATAACAGTTGTACCAGTTTTTTATGACGGGAACGGTACGAGGACTGTTCTTACACTTTTTCTCTGTCGCACTAGAGGAACAGGTATTATATGTATATAATTAGACCTAACTTAACATAACTTAAAATCGTCTCAAAAGGAATGTATTGTATTGAGATATATTTACGGAGATAAAACGAAACTAAATAAAATGAAACAAAATGGAACGAAGTAAAATAAAGTAGAACCATAAGGAATGAGGCTTAACGAAAAGGAATGAGGCGAGATAGCATGTACTAAAATAAAACGAAACGAAAAAGAAGGAAATGCAATGAAACGCAATCAAGCTAAACGAAATGGAATGAAACGATATAAAATGAAATTAAATAAACAGAAGGGAAGTAAATAAAACGAAAGGAAAATAATTAAATTGAAATTAAATGATGAAGAAGAATCAAACGAATCGAAACAACATACAAAGGCAGAACGAAACTCAGTGCAAGTGAATGAGATTCACCGAGAAAATATTATATGGAAATAAAAGAGATACATTTATCTTATCATGTATTTAGCAGCGGAGTTAAAAAGAATCAAATAATAAAATGGAAATAAAACAAAATAAAATGGATTGAAATAACAGGAAATGGAACAAACTAAAATGAAATGAGATGTGAATTTGAATTTTGTGAAGAATTTAGTGAAATCATAAATAACAACCAACATCGATTGTACAACACGTGTTTTTCCGACGAGGGTACTTCTATGTTAAATTGGTTAATTTGATGGAATTTTTTGTTTTTTCTTATAATTGATGTTCAACCAATAAATTATTTATATCCAAATTTATTACGTTTATTTAATAAGTTATTCCGTAAATAAAAAAAATAGAGTGTCGTATACAGAAAAAAAAAGAAAACTTTGAAATGATGTGCCACTCGACCACACTTGCCATTAAAAAAAAACTGTTGGTTTATGAGGGGCAGTAGGGGCTTATATTTGAGGGCGGCATGAATTTTGCACAAAAATTCGTCACCCTCCCAATAAAAATTGAGCGGTTTTGAAGAAAGAAGAAGGGTCAAATTTTCGTATATTGATTATTGTAATAGTAATAATTGTAATCTTAGTTCTTATATATATATAATATATATATATATATATATATATATATATATATATATACAGATTGAACGAAATAAATTCGGAACATAGGAATATAATGTATTTCGGCTCAATTCTGCTGTAGCTGGTTGGCCAACAAAAGATTGTCAAATAATTATATTATAAAAAATCCCATACTTCAGTGGGCTGCTGGATTCTGAACTCATAAAAATTGAAAGCTACACATAAATCTACGATTATGCTGTCAAACCAGTTATAGTCCAGGAAATGTAGCATTTCACCTCGCAATTTTTTCGTGCGGCGCGGATTGACTTGAAATTTAAAAGAAGGTAGGTAATAGCCTAAGGATCAAAATCTATATCGAACCAAAGTGCGCCAAAGCCTAGGGGGTGGTTGCCACCCCATCTCCGGGGTGAAATTTTTTTTACGCTTTAACTACAGGTTTCGATTAGAAAAGTGATTCTAAACAAAAAATGTGCTATACGTTTTTTTTATAAAATGATATTTTTCAAGTTATTCGCGATTGAAAGTAACAACTTTTAGACGAAAAAATCCACGTTTTTAATCGATTTTTCGCGAATAACTCGAAAATGGTGCATTTTATCAAAAAAATTGTAGAGAACAAATTTGTAGCTTTTAAAAAGACAAATACAATTACAAATACAATATCAATGTTCAGCGGTATTCTTCAAATGCCAAATTTGAAAGATTCAAAGTCAAATATCGGGAAAATGATGCATTTTTGGAAGAAAACTCACAAAACCTTTTTTAAAGAGCATAAATAGACCTATCATAAAAAAAATAAGGTCAATACCTCATTTTTTACGAAAAAATCGAGGAAAACAACACCCTAACCACCCCCATAATTAAAATCGATCTTCACCCTTCTGCAATTCCCTTTGTAGATGTATTGTTAATACTTCCAAGAAGTTTGACCCATTTAAAATGCTTAGTTTTAAAAAAAGTACAGCTTAAAGCGAGAAACGATTTACAATTTCATATTTTTTACCCTTCTTTTTTTAAATATGCCAGAAAATACTGAATATATGAAAAAAATAAAAATTACCAAATTGTAGCTTTTTTAATGACTAAAATTATCCTTTATTTAGATTTGTTGTACAATGAATATTTGGCGAGATATAGCCGTTTAAAGCATCGATTTACGATCAAGCACCATCTTTTTCGGGCCATTTAAAAACAAAGGGTTCCAAAAAGATTTAATTCACAGATCCTTGTAGCTATTAAAAACCTCTACAAATCGTTTTTGAAGAAACATCTATCGTTAAAAATTAAAGGAAATACTTTAAAAAACCAGTTAATTTTTTTCCGGAAAATTCCATTAGTATAG